GCCAGGTCTTGTTGTTTCTGCTTTGCCTGCTAGTTTTTTTGTGTATTGGCCATGTAATACTTTGCCTTGCCATGTCTCTTTTCTATTCTTCAGTTGGTCTTTCTTGAGGGCCAGTTTGGGCTCTTCAGTATTGTTGCTGGTGGTGGTCACACAGTCAGCCAGATGTTTAGACTAAAATTGGCATTTTTATCCACCTATCAAGTCCTTCCCAAGGACCTGGGATAGGGAGATGTCGTTTGATAATGTTAAAGGTATCATTGCAGATATAAGCTATTCCAAGTAAATCTGCCTTTTGCAATTGACTGATGGTGATTTTGTCAATGTCGATGGTCTTCAAGTGGTGTTCCAGATGTGTTTTTTATATTTATTATTATTATCATCATCATCATCATCATCATATTATGGTCAAATCAAAGCAGCAAACGTACCTAATACTCCTGCCTATTATCCCCACAACAACAACCCTGTGAGGGGTTTGGGCTGAGAGAGTGAGTGGCCCAAAGTCTCCAGTTGGCTTTCATGAGACAAAAAACGTTTCCTCTGGATGTTAGGCCACTAGAGAAATTTGAATTTTGAGAATACATTGATGGCATTATGGCTGTCATATGGAGAGTGGCAGTTCACCAATTTGACTGCCATGGTGGCATGTTCCATTACAAAACAAGAAACTCAGATGAACCAAAAAAAAAAAAAATCAAGTTAGCTGAGGGCACCTAAAGGAGTTGGGCGGCTTCTTATAATAAAGACATTGAAAGCTGCTGCATGGTTAATAAATCAAAGTACACTAGTTTTCTGGATTCCGGTCTATAAAGAACAGAAAACAATCTTTCTGAAGATAAATTGGTACTCTATGATGAATTACATGTCTTAAGTCAACCAGCAGACTATCGATTGTGTGTGTGTGTGTGTGAATGAATGAATGAACTCTATAAATCTGGAAATAGTTGTATTTAGTTCTCAGTCATTTTGTTCTTGTAATGCCTTTGGCTTGAAAAAAGTAGCCTAAAATAAGCAGAACAATAAATTGAAATTCTTCAGGAAATTTATATCCAGAAAGAACACAGAGAACATATATTCACAGAGGAGGCCATCATAAGGTACTGCCATTACCCTATGTTTAATAGTCAATTAGCCAGTTATCGAGAAAATAGAGTAACAGCCTCAGTTTCAGCAGTACCAAAAGCATAAACTGAAATAAAAGAAACTGTTTCCCCCAAATTAGATAGGCAAGACTTATTCTCAGTTTGAAAAATAGAAGCTGACTTGTGACTTTGTGTTACTAGATTTTAACTCCTGAATATAATGAGTAAATAGCACAGCTAACTAACCCTTAAAGGAATTAAATAAGTGGAGAATGTTTGTGTGGATGCGTGCACCTTCGAATCAGTCTTTCACTCCTGGTAATTGCCTGGACTAGTCTTTGCGGTTTTCTTGGCAAAATTTTCAGAAGTGACTTGCCACTGCCTTCTTTCTAGCCTGAGAGAGAGGGACTGGCCCAAACTCAGGGTCTCCAGTTTCGAGCCTGGTGCCTTAACTGCTACACAAACTGGCTCTCAAGTGGAAAACAGGTCTAGCAATATGTACAGATTGCTATACATCATAACCAACCATTTAGAGGCAGCATATCTAACATAGAACAGAAGAAAGCTGTTGACTTCATAAACCTGGACGTCACTGTCCCAGAATGAGTGCTTCACCTCAACAAAGCCATGGTCTGATCAAACAAGCTTCCTTTTCCCTTTGCAGGAATTGCCACCCCTCCTCATTTAGGGCCAACCACAAATCTGTCTGGACTCAAGCAGTATGATGGAGTTCCAGGTAGGCCCAGCACCTCCCTCTTTTAAGAAGTTCAGCACTGCAGGGAGAAAACGAGCGCCTGGCAAACGGAAAAGCTTACACCACCTTTGTTAATGATATGCCTCGGTACAACGAAGAGCAAAGCAGCCCTGGAGCCGCCTTAACCAGCCACCCACACATAGAAGCATCGTGGTCGCGCCCATTGCGTCCAGGGTATGGGAAAAGGGAGTGCCACAGCGGCCCGTTCCGGAGGGAAAGAGCAAGGACAAGCGAGCAGCAGCGAAAGGCAGGCGATCCGGAAAAGGGAAAGCTGCCTTCCTAAAGCGCAAGGGCTCCGCCGTCGGCCTCCTGAGAAACAAGGCACATCCACGCCACACTTCCACTAGGCCCCCTTCTTCCCTTCACAGCTGCCCTGGGCTCGGAAGCCCCTTCCTCCCGTTCCCCACTCAAGATGCTGAAAGGCTTATCAGGTCACACCCGCCCAGCTCCGATCAGCTTCCAACTGACCGTGGCGAGGAAGGGAGCACTTACTTGCCTTCTAGGGATGGGTCAGGCCCACTTAGGGTGGGAGAAGGAAGCGCGGGGCTTGCACAGCCTGTATCCGCTTCTCTCTTTAGCTCCAGACCCGCTAGGGCGAGACCGGGACGGCTGGATTAAGGGCGACGGCGACACCACAACCGCTTGCTGGCAGACGCGTCTCATCAGCCAGTCGGCTCCTCCTCCCCGAGGAGAAAGAAGATGAGGGGGAAGGGAGGTGGACGGGGCGGGGCCTGAAATGTGCCTCACATGCCATCCGAAGGGAGTCTCGGGAGCGGGGAAAAAGGGAGGAGGATCCAGGGAGCAAATATGGAAGGGCGTGGTGCTTCGCGGAGGCAGGCCACGCTCCTGCACCCAGCCCGCGGACTTAGGAAGGTACACTGAGTGGTTTTAAACTGAGAGGCCTCCATTGGTTATACATCCTGAGGACACGGTGATGTCATTCCATCTCGGTCAACTCTATGGTGAAAGCCCTACGCTCTACACAGGAGCAGCGCAAGGGCAATTTCGCGGGCTAGTCGGCTGAAGATTCATCCGTGTGAATCTTCTCACCTGGGATGAGTGAAATGCCCCTGAGAAGTTCAAAATAGTCTCTAAATCAAGAGAGCAAGTAACTCTCCCCCGCCCTCAGATCTTAAGAGCAGAATTACTAGCAACCAACTTCATTTAATACCAATGAAGATTGCACTAAAGCAGTGCTTCCCAAACTTTTTCCTTCTTTAACCCCAAATCCTAACTTTGAATGGTCGCTAAACGAATGGTCATAACTCAAGGATTACCTGTATTATAAAAACAATATCATTGAATGATCTTTATGTCATTTCAACAAATTACCAATGGCAATTTTTGTTTTAGGGTGTACACACCTTCTTGAGATTTTTGAATATATTTTAGTACATGCGGCAATCCTTAAGTCAATTTAAATGTTCCTGTTGTGATTGGGTAATAACACACGAACCCATTACCCAAAGAAAAACCACTTTTACCCAATTTGGGGTAATTTACCCAGGGTTGGGAAACACTGCACTAAAGGTTCATCCTCAAAGCTGACCCCCTCCCCGCCCCAGGGGTGAGGACACACCAGCAACCAGTGGCACAATGCACAGCCAAATACCACCACTCTTATTCTACAGCCAGCCTCTGCCTGAGGCATCTTGATAGGAGTTTTAGGAACTCTACTCTTCTACCAACGTTTTCTGTCATACTGTGACTTCCATTGAAACAAGTTAATACAGGGAGCGCAACCATGCTGCACAGGGAACACAGCAGGGAGGGGAACGAACGATCCTCCTGCACACACACAAGCCATCAAGATCATGGGTGACATAAACTTGTGGGATGGCAACCCCTCAAGCATCCCCTCACTCTGTTGGACTACAGCCCACATGCAGACCTAATTCTGGGGATCCAAGGCCATCAAAATACATCTCCATCTTTCAAAAGGACATTCCCTTCCATCATCAAACAACTACCCCACAGCCACATCAACTCCTCTGCACTCACAAAGGAACCTTGTGCAGAAGTTTTTGACTTGACCAAGTTGGGAGTAGCATAACCTTTGTTGTGGGAAAAATGGCTACTTCTACAGCTACTGTGAATGGAGATTATACCTACCTGCATTACTACAGAGTCAAATCCTGAAAATAGCTGCTATAACTACTGAACCACTTGTATGAACAGCCAGATACCATCATTGAGAACCACTTGTTTCAAGAAAAGGGCCTTTGCTTCTACAATAAGACCTATCCAGCATCTGTTGTGATTTATATTACATTATTCATAAGAGTAGCACTGCTCCTAGAAGACTTTCAGAGTGCAAGCCAGGCCACAGAGGAACATCAAAACTAAGCATGCTCTTTAGCTTAGATCCTGACAGTTTCATGCTGTAACTGTCTTTAAAGCATGCAAAGTTGTCTACTGCGCCAGGGAAGTGCAATCCTGTTTCCAATAAATATCTATTTGTCAAAATGCAACATATGGTCTCTTTTACTCATAAAGTGTCCTCACAGTATGTTTTGGGCCCCAATCAACCATGGCATGAGAATTGACCTAGCACATGATGCCCAAAATGTGCCTTCCATGCACCTGCATACACCTCTGCATGCCATTGCTGTGCTCACAACCATCCATCCACAACTCAACCTTCCTTGCAAACTACCCAGTGGGTATGCTGTGCCCTGGCTCACATCAACCTAAGGCACTGTGAAGGTTTGACCACAGCATGCCCCTCCAAGCCTCCCGCCAAAAAAAAAAAAAGCCCACTAACCCACACTTGGTGGCCACAAGCAATGTACACATGGGTTTCTCTCCCTGAAGCCAGGGCAGGTGGTCCATGTTGCAATATATTCTATTCTAGGGGCAGGGCAACTATAGGGTTGCAGTGGAAGCCAGGTACACCATCATCAGTGCAGTAGTCTGTGAGTTAGAAACAATTGGCTAGGCACCCCTATAGGAGATCTCTTGCTGGTTATGTCTGGATGGGTGAGTAAGAGAATGTAGTTTCCCACTCTGGTAGCCCTCTTAACACAAGGCTTGCCAACTACTCGGCAGAGGGGTGGAACTGATTCCACTTGCATATGGTCCCTAATAACTAGTTGAGAAATACAACAGTAGTATACTTATGAGTTAGAAGAATTAGGTATACTACATTTATATAAACAGGAAAGGCAGCATTCACTGATAAAATTTGGAGTGTTAGATATCCCCAAACACAAGGCATACTCCACAGCTCCTAATTCCCATTTAGATCATTGTCCATGATAACCATTCAAAAACCTGCATGGGAACAGCTTGAACTACAAGGCACATGAGGAAGTGCAGAATACTGACATTTTGCCCTTTCAGAGTAGACATGCACTTCCACACTTCCTAAAATCTGGAATATTAGAGAAGCTATCAAGGCAATAAGGTTTAACTACTGATTTACCTTAAAAGCCTTATTATAGGATTGTTGGATTACTCTAGTGTTTATCTTTTAAACTCTGGTCTTGTATACAAGAACATTAAAAACAGATTCCCATGGCAGAGGAACTGATTTGTTTAACATGCCACAATATTCACACCTGCCTAGGATAAAATCCCATTGTTTGCAAAGTTTACTTTTCAGTAAACCCACAACCAGAAATTGTGCTATTAGATGATATAATCAGCTTGCATGGTATATTTTGAATATCCTTGTTCCCCTTCCTACCCAACACCCACCCCCCATGCACACACACACGTGTGAATAGAACAGGAATGAATGGATTTGTAAATAATGCAAAGAACACAAAGGGTACAATCGTGACTGTTATTTCAAATTGGCAGCTTTCAGCTTTACTTATAAATATACTCAGTATCTGATTACTGGCATGTCCCAATTAGTCGACTATTTGATAGGAAGTTATAGTGTCCTGGGATCTGATTCATTGGAATAATTTGCATAAACCTAGGGTATTCTGAGAAGTGAATATAAGGTCACTGTAAGAAAGTTGAACTTAGTTTCATTGGCTCAAGCTAGCAGTCTGAGATCTGACTCACTGGAATAATTTGAAATTTAACAGATGCATTAGCTTTCTCTTTTTTCCCAGGAGGGTCTAGACAAGGGATTGTACAAAACAAAGAAGCTGTTTGGAGTTGCATAATCTTTGGGAGATATATAGATATGGACAAGTACTGTGGTGATCTGCAAGGTATTTGCCTTTTTGTTGTTGTTGTTGTTCCAGCCTGAGGAGGATTCCAATTATATCTATACCAAGTGCAACCTCATTGCATTGCTGGAGGAGAAAGTGGAGGGTCTGTGGACACATCTGGCAATACTGAGACTCAGCAGGGAAGATGAGTTTCTGGGCAAGGCAGAAAGATACCTACAAACCAAACACAGGAAGGAAGGGGCTACTACAAAGAAAACAGGAGTCCCAGAGGAAGAGGTCTGGGAGCATGTAATTTGGAGGACCAAGTCCCTGTTGCTGGAATGCACAATCAATTTCAGATCCTACTTTTGCCCCAAAGAGGAAAAGGCATGTGATGGTGATGGGTCACTCACTGCTGGGAAGAAAAAGGTCAGCAATCTGCAGATCAGAAATGATATCTAGGAAAGCGTGTTGTCTCCCAGGTGTAAAAATCTGAGATATGATGGAAAGGGTGACCCAACTTATCAGACCTACTGACCACTATCCCTTTCTTCTGTTTCATGTTGGAACAAATGACTACTAAAAAAGCCTGGAAAGAATATTGAAAGACTACAACAAACTAGGCAGGAAGGCAAATGAGTTTAGAGCACAGGTGGTGCTTTTGTCCATACTTTGTTCTGAGGCAGGAACAAAGATTCTGGAGGTGAACTGTTGGCTCAAGTGATGGTATCAAGAATGATGATACAAGATAATGGAAAAAGTAGGAAGAATTCCATGGATAAAAATCCTGTAGGAAAAACAATTCAGGAAATTGCTTGAATTTGTAAGAATGGCATGGGATCAGGAAGGCTAAGGTTCAAAATGAGCTGAGACTTGCAATGAATGCCAAAAATAACACAAAAAGGTTCTTTGGGTATGCATGGAACAAGAAGAAAGTCAAGGAAATGGTCAGCCAGCTGGTTGGAGAAGTTGGCAAAATGGTGACGGAAAACAGGGAGAAGACTGAATTGTTTATTTTCTATTTTTCAAAAATAGTCTAATACAAAAAAGCAGTTCAACCTGTCGGAAACTACACCGTGGGGGACAGAAGAGAAATGCAGGGCAAAATAAGCAAAGAAGTAGGGAGAGAACATCTAGCTGCTTTGAATGAATTCACATTGCAGGGGCTGGATGGTTACATTACAGGATGCTAAAACAACTGGTGGATGTGATCTCAGAACCACTAATTGTAATCTTTGAGAACTCCTGGAAGAGGAAGTTGCCAGAAGATTGGAGAAGAGCTAATGTTGTTCCAGTCTTTTAAAAAGGGAAAAAATGGCCCCAGGAACCTACAGACCAATCAGCTTGATGTTAATAACTGGGAAAATCTTAGAAAAGATGATTAGGTAGTGGGTTTGCAAGCAAGGAACAAGGTAATTACTAGAAGCTAGCATGGATTTTTGTTCAAAATAAGTTGTGCCAGATACATTTTATTGCTTTTCTGACAAAGTGTTGGGATTAAGTAAATCAAGGGAATACTGTGACTATAGACATAGGTTTCAGTAAGACCTAGACTTCAGTATGATCTCGATCAAGATCTAGACTTTAGTAAGGCAT